TCTCTCTCTCTCTCTCTCTCTCTCTCTCTCTCTCTCTCCCTCTCACATACTGTTTCAGACCTTCGTTCAGGCGCTCCTGGTAATGATGCATTCAGAGAGCCGTTTGCTTGAGAAATCTCTCTGCTTGGTTCAAAATGAATACGGCCTCCCTATAAACGTTAGCCTTTTGTGAAGGCGTTCTACATGATCAAACCTTTCCGACCCTTCCACTACACGTCTTCTGAAATACATTTGACATGCTATGTGCGCGTTAGGCGCGCGACGTGCGCCGAAGATTTGTCATTGGAACAAGTTCAATATAGCCTAGTCGGTAATTTGCAAAAACAACTACTACATACGCAAAAAACGCCAGTGACAACAAACAAGGAAAACGCGCCAGGCCTATCAACATCCCACCCGCCCCCACGAACACGACGACTTTAGGGCAAGCCAGTAATCCGATCCCAAGAAACCCTCAGTAAAACCTTTTCACCTTCACGGCCTAAGATATTTTCGCTTGACCAAGGAACATACTCGTCATCCTGCAGTACAATGGCTTCTTTGACAGCTGAGGCAGAGTCCTCAGACGCGAGGGGGTATACGTCGTCTTGGAAGAGATCTGCAAGCACATGGTTGGCTAAGCGCAGGACATAAGGCCCTGGAAACCAAATACAAGGGCCTTTCACCATGCTTGACGCTCCAGTTAGCTTGTTGACAACAGTGATATACCTTAGCGCCAACTGCCTTTTGCTGACGGATATGGCTGCTAAAGTACGCAGTGAGACAGCCAAACGTCGTGGCAAACGAATGACGCTTTGGTGGAGCTGCTGGGTGCAGGTCAGACTCGCGCTGGCACCCTTCGTCCACTGGTCATATGGGCCAGGAAACCACACGCATGGGCCCTTAGAGATCTTGTAGGTCTCATCAAGCACGGCATGCATGCACATAGAAAAACTATCTAGACATTTGCGACCGCATGGATAATATATCAACGCACAGTCCCTACTTTTCACGACCCTCCGCAATAAGTCACGAAACGACTTGTACTTCTCCCAACCGTTTGTCATTCTCTCTGAGCAACCTGCGCAAGGCTCAGAGGCACAGGAAGGTTAAAACAAGACCTTCCACGTGCTCCTTTTCTGCATTTGCGCGCGCACGTGCGCGGTCAAGTGAGGCGGCGCGGGCTGCATGGTTGCGAAACAGACTGGCAAAAGGCGAGAGCGATTTGCTACGATGTCTCGCCGCCACGCCCTGATTTATGTTCTGTGTCTGCTTGGTGCATTATTTTGTCCAGTGAGCCACGCTTGGCAAACCAAACCGTTGCCCTTGCCAGAGTGCATATTTTCTATGTTTCTGCGCTGAGAGAGTCTAGCTGAATGTCTCTGGGTCCGCGTTTTGGTTTTGCAAGCGCTGCTGCCTGGATGGGCATTTTGTTTTCCCGCCCAGGAGGGCATTCACGTCACGCCAGGGATGACATCATGCCGCGGATGACATCATGTCACGCCAGAGTGGCACCGCGTCACGCAGGCGCGACATCATGTCATGCCAGGGACAACAGCTAACATCACGTCAATGACATCGCGTCACGCTCAGGGATGACATCACGTCATGCCAGGGGTGACATCACGTCACGCCAGGGACAAAAACTAACATTACGTCAATGACATCACGTCATGCTCAGGGACGACATCATGTCAAGCCAGGGATGGCATCATGTCACGCTAGGTGACATCATATGTCACGCCAGGGGTGACATGAGGGGATGACACCATGTCGCGCCAGGGACGACATCACGTCACGCCAGGGATGACATGATGTTACGCCAGGATTCAGCTGATATATGTTGCGCATATTGGTGGACTGGTCTGATGTTGCGCACTGCGGTGACAGCCGTCCGTGGCGTGTCCTTGAATCCTATACACCCGCTATCTGGGGTCTATGCCGGTGTAATTCTCGAGGTTTTGGTCTGTTGAACCCATTTGCATTCGAAATTACGCAAGCGTAGACCACAGATAGCAAAAAGACTTGCGGCAGCACCAGCAGCACACTGCCAAGGCACACTGCAGCGGCAAGTTAGCGGCGCCCTGCAGCATCTCCAGCGCCCAAGCAGCACCCAACCTCCCAAGCGCGCGCAGCAGCGGCGCCCTGCAACACCCAAGCCACAGCAGCGGCGCTCTGGCACCCAAGCTCCCAGGCCACACAGCCAGCGCCACCAGCACCAAGCTTTCAAGCGCACACAGCACACGCTGCGCGACACACACAGCACCTTGCAGCGGCACCAGCACCCAAGCTCCCGAGCGCACACAGCAGGGGGACCTTGCAGCGGCAGAAGCTTCCAAGCCCCCAAAGCGCACGAGGAGCGGTAACCTGCAGCGGAACCCTGCACCCAAGCTCCCAGGCGCACACAGAGCAGCTCAAGAACTCACACAGCTCTTCCTGTTCTGGAACAGCAACGGCGCCCTGCAGCGGCACCAGCACCCAGGCGCAAAACGCACCCAGGCGCAAAAACGCACACACGCAGCTCTTAACCCCAATAGTTCACGCTATATATCTGGTAAGCGTTAATTTCTACTGCTTATTTTGGATTTAGTGATCAATTAACCCTAATTAAAACTGATTCTAATGCCATTTAATCGAACTCTAAATGAGGTAATTCTGATTCAACTCTAATGTAATTCAAACCTAAATTTGATGTACGTCTAAGCTAGTTCCAATTCAACTTTAAATTTGATCTGACGCTTTAACTTTCATTGAAAGAAGATTCATTTCTACATTAAATGAATCGAATTTACTTCTATGTTTGCTTAAAATGTTTTTTTTATGCGACGTCTATCTGACTTCAAATTAATTAAGCGCAGTTCTAGTTTATTTCGACTCCAACTGTATTTCTAATTCAGCTTCATCTTACTCCAATTCAACTCGAATTCTAAATCAGTGCCAGTTCAACTCTTCTCAGGTTCTAACTTAAACAATCAATAATAGCCAAAGGGGAATAGAAGCAGGATCTTCTATGAGCTTCGCCTTCACTGCCCATTGGGCCGCAGGATGAAGTCCTCCTATTGTTCTTCCGTCTCCTCCTTCGGGGTCTGCTCCCGAGGTCTTTAGCCTTTTCTGGCAGGCTCTGGCTTCTGTCCCAGTGCCCCGACTCTCCTGCAGTCTTTCTTCCTTCTTCTTGCGCTCTTTTGCAGAAGTCGTTCCTTCACCCCGTGTAGTCTCGGTCTCAGCCTCTGCTTTGCCCCGACGCGGCAGCTCCTGCTGCCTGGCTCTCAGATCCTCCGGCCTGCAACCGCTGAAGACGCGCGCCGCCTTGAGCAGACTGCACCTGACAATGGAACAAGGGCACAACGAACCAAGCGGCTCACGCGTCCAGGAGGGTTCAGGGTGGACATTCAGCTAAAGCCACAACACTGCGGTGAAGAGTTTGGGTCTGTTTGTTGTTAGACCTGAAACGCAACCAATATCAGAAAAGGAAAACAAATTAAAGGACCGGATAACCCCACATATGAATCTTTACGAAACTTAAGTTTCTAAAGCACAAAGCAGTCAGAGTCTCAATAACTTCTACAACATGGCCTTGTCAGGAATTATGTCAGAATTACACAACAGAGGGGTGGGAGAGAGGTGTGGGAGAGTAATGTGCACGGCGGATGTACGAGGTATTGCGCAGACATTACACTTTGCACTAAGAGCGAGATCTATTGCAATTTACACTCAGACAGCGCCGCAGCCGACCAGCGGCGACCAGCGGCGACCACAGCCGCGAGATCTATTGCAACTTACACTCAGACAGCGCCACAGCCGACCAGCGGCGACCAGCGGCGACCACGCAACCGCCAGAGCCTCTAACGGAGCGAGATGTAGTGCAATTTACACTCAGACGGCGCCGCAGCCGACTCAGCCGACCAGCGGCGACCAGCGGCGACCAGCGGCGACCAGCCGACAACGCAACCGCCAGAGCCTCTAACGGAGCGAGATCTCTTGCAATTTACACTCAGACAGCGCCCCAGCCGACCAGCGGCGACCAGCGGTGACCACAGCCGACAACGCAACC